TCCAGCTTCAGGGGATTCAATTTTGTCCTGTGCTGAAACTTGAAGGTACGTGTTGAACATACATACACCTAGGAAGTCATATATGCACAAACACATGTGCACGCACGCTGCACGTGCACACACACCTCTCTCTCTCTCTCTCATTTTTTTTTTAACTCTTAAAAAAAGGTAACATTTAAAACACAGGTAGATTAATCCAAACACAGGCATTAGTTACTTTGCTCATTGGCTAATTCCAGCATTCTATAGTTACCATTTTATGAAGAAATCTTATCATTCGTGTCTTCATGGAGTATCCTTCCTGACTAAATCTTGGAAAGAAAATCATTTTCAAATTTCTTTCTATGTTTTGAAACCAAAGTGATAAATTTTAAGCTTAAAACAATGAAAAAGGTTTAGTACTAAAATTTAAGAAGTGGATGTCAAGTGGTCATTGATATCTACTGACTTTTGAATGCACATGGTTTAAATCCTTTGAGAAAGCCATGTGCTGGCTTCTGGGCCCCACAAAAATTCACTCATTTAATTTTGGGCAAGTCATTTAACTGCTTTATTTTAAAAAGCACATTAGAACAGTTGTTTCTGTGGATTCCAAAATTACCACAAACATTAAACAACTGATTTAAATCATCCAAACCAGGAAAGAGTGACTATTTCCAACTCCCTGTATTTGTTGTCTTTAATTATCATTTTGGGAAATATGGCTCCCTAGCTGAGGAAGTGCTCAAGAAAAGGCTGCAGAGAGCATCCTTTCACATCTTCAGCATATAGTCTCTTCACCTTCATCAAACATAGAGCAAGATTAGTTGCAGAGAGGAACTCCTGGGGTTTTCTGTGACTGTTCTGCACAAGAAAGAATGATGTTACAAGTTTTCATGCTGAAGTTTTGAGGCATTACATACCTCATTAAAAATGAGGCAAGTTAAACTTACCAGATAAGATGTAAGTTGACCTTTACCCTTACTGAAATTGGTATAGTATGGATAGATAAAATTGTTCCTCAAAGGAAAAAAAAAAAGATGAGATCATAATAAACAGAGAAAAAGAAGCTGCATTCTTGGATATTGTCACAAGAGGGCATTTATGGATTAACTCATTGCATTTTTTTTCTGTATTTGAGAACACTAGAAAACATTTCTAAATTGTACAAACAATCTAAGAATAATTAGGAAAAATTGTAAGGAGGAAGTCTCTAAAATTTTTACTTTATATCAATTCTGTTTTGGGAAATTGGCTTAGTTTTCAGAAGTTTCTGTCAAATGAAGATTTGTATGTATTTATAAATTTTACATGTCAATAGCTCAATTTTCTTAAATAGTGAGACAGTAAATATAGTATAATCTAAATTATCCACCTATAGTTTGTTTCTTGCATTTGTTTATGTTCTATTATACAACAAATATATAAAATAAATCGTATTGTAACTAGTAGAAGGTAGTTGCATATTAGAATACAGTTTTATCTTTGTGTAGAAAAACAAGCTAATTAATAGTCCTAAGCATTTTGAAAGGAGATGCCATTTAGAGGACACAAGTGTCTTAAAATAATGAAAGTCTCAGTGATATTAGAAAGTAAGTAAAGTAAATTGGTAGAGAGACAAAGTGATTTGACACACAAGAAGGAAAAAAAAAACTGCAACCATTACCTAACAACTTTTACTTGAACCCTGTAAAGCTGAATTCCCTGACACATTCATCTCCACCAGGCCAATCTTCAAGTAGTCTGGGCCTACAGTAGGCACTCCATGAACATTGTAAGTGAATAAATGAAAGCATCTCAAATCAAGGATAAATTTAGAAATGCTGGGACAAGGGAGAATTTTCAGAGATTATTACCTTGTTGCAATGATTGCTGTTAAACTTGCAGATGCCCTGGAAAATCTTGCCAAGTCACCTGGGGTTTCCAAATAACTGCAGAGTTGATATCATGTAAACAAAGCATCAGGACAACTAAGGTGACAATGTCTACACATTCCATCTGCAAGAACAAAGCAGGTGTAGATTCAGGACCAGCTGTATCTAATGACTCCTGGGAAGCCATCCAGTCTCACAGTACAAGACCCTACACATCAAGAAGAAGCCATATATTTTTTTACCTAACTTATCTAAAGTTTTGCAAAATTCCTTTTTTAATGGATTAAAAATTAATAATCAACTATCAGGGTGTTTAGTAAGCATTAGATAATCATTTTATATAATATCAATCAAAAGTACAGAAATGCGGCATTTTAGATAACCTGTGGTCCTATTAGGGAGAGCATGTGATTTCCTTTAGGCATTTTAATATAATCAAAGTATGCTTCATATTTGTTTTCCTACTTATGCTGAACCCTCAGCTTTCACAAACCATTCCACAATACCACAGAAGACGGTGAGATGAGATGAGCCATAGAAGCTGTTGAGTTTAAGAGTCCTGGGTTCAGAGCTCAACTCCAACCCTCACTAAGAAAATGGTTTTCTCTAAACCCATTTTTATCTATAAAATTAGTATGATGATAGCATCATGGACTATTTAGGTGGCAAATTTGAGCATGTGTAATTTGCCCGATGAATACAAGATAGTCCATAAACTTCAGAGTTTATGTGTAAAGGATCTCAGACTTTTAAAAAGACTCTGGTTGACTGGGACTTATGCAGGGAGACTTAGCTCAATCTGGGAGGAGGAGACTGGACCTGCCTGGACTGAGTCTATCAGGTCGATCTCAGTCCTCAGGGGAGGCCTTGCTCTGGAGGAGGTGGGAATGGGGGGTGTGCTGGGGGGAAGGGGAGGGGGGCAGGAAGGGGGAGAACAAGGGAATCTGTGGCTTTATGTAGAACTGAATAGTATTGTAAAATAAAATAAAATAATAAAAAAAGACTCTGGTTGAGAAATTTAAGACTGTGGTAGATACAGAGTTTGCCATAAAGCACAATACATGCCCTTTACAACATTTTCATACATGCTTGCAATCAGTTTAACATGAGGATACTTCTGACTAATTAGAGGTGGTGGGAGTGATAGATGTCATTTTCAGATCAAGACAATTAAAAACTACAAGCTAAATTCATCAGTACCACCTCCTACCACACTACTCTTGAAACCTGGTACTGACATGGCACCTCATTATAACAAGGCCTTTCTCAGCTGAGTCATCTCAGTGAACCAGAATGGACCAAGTGAAACATAAAACATGAGTAGTGCTTTGTCATTGATCTTTAGGTGGCAAATTATTACTGCAGCATAATGTAGTCAAAGCTAACTAATACATTTTTACCAAAACATGTTATCTCATGAATAGGAAAGATAAAGACTAGAGAAGCAAGTTTATATAAAAACAAAGACTAGAATGCAAAAAGTAAATGAAAATGGTAGTATAGGAGTATAGGCTCTTCCTGAAGTGTTATCTGTTGTGAATTATAGGCTTCCTATTGGTGAAATTATTAAGGCCACTCCATGTAGTTAAAAGAGAGGTTTATTAGTGGTGTAACTTACAAATGAAGGGATAGGTAGGTTGCAGGGTCTGGGGAAGGTGTGTCACAGTCCAGCATCCGCAGTGTTCTCTGAAGAACTCTGCTCAGTCTACTTTCACTGTCCAGGGTTCAGGAACAGAGAGAGCATGGCACATCCAGATCTCGGGTCTTCAGGGCTCTCCCTTGGCCCCGCCTTGTAGTTGTGACAGTTTCTGAAGCCTCAGTGGGGGTGGGAACTTCCAGATCAAAGCTGGAATGGCTGCCCACTACAGCTTCCTTCTTAATGCCCTCTCTACAAATACGCCTGATATACATTACAAACATTTCTTAAGAATCCAGGTATTCTTCTCTGGGTCATCATCGTTTTATTACTTTTTAACTGTCTTTTATTTACTCAAGTTCTAAATTGAGACATTCAGCTATGACATTCTACAAAGGATTATTTTATGTCACTTTATCCAAATGGAAATTTTACTATAGTAATTTATATATATATTATGGAATTTCTGGTAATAGTTTGCTTTTCAATGCTTTTCTGCCTCATGAGAATGCTGATTTCACCATGCATTGTTTGGTTCATATTTTCTATATGTATTGACTTAAACTTTGACACTTAGTATTTCATTACATAATCATTGAAAGATTCAAAGCAGTGTCCAAAATATTTGATGGAAATGAAATAAACTTTAAGAATATAATGAAAAAAGGAAGATAACTGTAGGACACATTATTCAAGAACAATGACTTAAGAGAATTCAGTGGGAAAATGAGGAGGAACCATCACGTAAAGGAAAGAGCAGTTAATAAAAAGTTCTCAGGAATCACAGGGAAGACAGAGTTTTAAGAACAAGGTGAAAGGAAACATCACATGAGCAGTGAAGAACTAGAACTGAGGGAAAGTAATCTTTGGTGGGTTTTGAGCACAGTGATTCATTTTCTGAAATATTTTTATTTATTCTTTGAAAACCTCAACATGCAATATACTGTGATAACATTCATCACCTGAATTCTTCTACTAATTCCTAGATCCATCTCCACCCCTTCACATCTTCTCATACACCCTTTACACCCTGCTCCCATCTCTTAAATAATCCACCGAATGCAGATGTAGCACATGAATTTCTAAATGTTCTTCTCTTTGGGACATGAGGTATTTCACCAGTCCCATCAGCAACTCTCTGTTGTTATAATAGTAGCTACTAAAAAAACAGTATTGGGCATCATGGTCTCCCAACAGAATGTGGGTAGATTGAACCCTTTCAAGTTATTTAAAGCCATTAGCCAGGAACCAAGTCATCCCTTTATAGAAGTGAAAATTTCTATTATTCTAAATTGCTCCTCTTCTCCTCTCCCTTCCCCTTTTCTCATCTCTCCTTGACCTCCCCCTACTCCTTTCTTCTCCCTTCTGCTCTTTTCCTTTCCTTCTCTCTCTTTCATCATAATGTGACTTAGTGCTTAATCACATAGGAGCCTAAACTCAAAAGGAATTAGGATGTGTCAAGTTGTTCTATATTCTCTTAGCAACCTATATTGTGCAGATTCCGTCTTTGTCACAACATTAACAGTCATTCTCAATCTGAATACCTCATGAAGAACTCTTCCTGTGTTTTTTATTGTAGCACTACTTGAATTACACAGGCAGTTAACAGATTCCAGCAATATACTAGTACTAAATTATCTTTAGGCAAAGAAAAGTAAGAGTTCCGAAAGAACATCTAATTAAAATTGGCATTTGAAGATTGCTTCCTCACAGTATTTATGTTAAACATGAGGTCTGATATGATGAGCCAAAATTCAAGGATTTGATACTATTCATATATTTTCTACAGCCTAGTTATAAAGGTAAGAATTAATATTGCTATTATTATTGTTATTAATTACTGCTATCTGAGGCAGAATCTTGGGTTTCCCAGGCTTGCCCTGAACTCTCTATATGAGTATAATCTTGAATTTCTGATTCAACCTTTAATTAAGTATCACTGGAATCAAACTAGAAAAGAAGTTTAGATGTAGAAGCCTACATTATAGTGTACTGATCAATAAGAACAATTACTTCTCAACTATACTATCTAGAATATTAAATTTATAGTATTAGCCTTCAAGCTTTTACTTTATTTTGTGATCATATTATCATAATTGATGGTTAAATTAAATATATACATATATATCACATGAAATATAAATAAATAATTTAATAACATCAGTGCAAATTCTCAAACTTCACTCCAGACACTAAACCATAACTTCTGGAGGTGAATCTTAGAAAAATCTTGAACAAGTTTCTCAGTTGATTTTGAAGCTTATAGAAAGTTGGTATCCATGGCATTAGTGCCAGAACTAAAATATACACTTTTTTTCTGATGTGGCACTCTGAAACCAGATGCTTCATAGCCCCTCTGAGAAGAAGTAATGTGTATAATGTACACTGTGTAGCTGAGAAATCTTGCAAGACTACCTGAAATGCCTGGATAAGAGTGGAGAGGTAAATGTACGGCTCTAGGGCATCTCTGGGCTCCCTCCAGGATTCCTTCCTATGTGTAAGAACTGAATCAATGCACTTCTTTCTATATCCTGGTCCACTTGGACCACTTCCTTCTTTCCATTCAGCATACCCATGGTCCCATATCAATGAATATTTGGTGACTGACTGAATCTTCATACACATTAGATCTCAACAATATTGTTCTTATAAAATAAATGTTACTAAGATGCAGAATTCATGCTTTGTTTTAAGCAAGTTCTTGTTCTAATTTCGTCTTTCTCATTCAAAAGGGCATACAAGAAATAACTAAATTTTAGCTAATCTACTCTAAAAATCACTTTTCTAATTTGATAATTTATTAATAGCAACCAATTGCTTGAGGGGGCACCTCACAATTAATCAAGGTTCATTATCATATTTGGCTAGTTCAAGGTTGAGAAGAACAAAATTTGCATTTATGTAAAGTGGTCAAGATTTTGAATCCAGTTTGGGACCATCTATCCTAAGAATACAGGAAAGAGAATTGAGGTTTGGTTTGCTTTGTGGCATCACAATGGGTCAGACATCTCATAGACCATTTCTTTCAGAAATAGGTTCCTAGCTGGGCAGTGGTGGTGTGCACCTTTAACGCCAGCATTTGGGAGGCAGAGGCAAGCAGATCTCTATTGTTAGAGGCCAGCCTGGTCTACAAAGTGGGTTCCAGGACAGCCAGGGCTGATACACAGAGAAACCCTGTCTCAAATAACCAAACCAATCCAAATCAGAACAACAACAACAACAACCTCAAAAAAAAAAAGAAAGAAAAAAAAAGAAAAGAATAAGAACTAGGTTCCTCTCATCTTGAGACCTTTTAGAAGGACATTGAAATAGGAATATTTAAAGGAAGAAGTGCCCACTTCTCGGTATTTAGCAGAGAATTAAGGTGACTTGGTTTTTATCTACCAGGTCATTGTTAGTTATTGTTAGAATGATCATGCTTGTGGCCTTTATTTTCCAGGTGAAGAAACGGAAGCCAGCAGTCATGGTTGATGTCCTCACCCTGTGTTCCTGTCTGCCAAGCACGAGCAAGTTGCTGCTGCAGGGAAATGGGACTAATTGCAGTTCTTTGCCATGTGACTCATCCTTGCCAGTTTCTAACACTTTTGCCAGGGCACCAATTTCTTATTCTCTGTGTGAAAGTCTTGTATCTCATTTAATTTCTCACTGTATACAACCCTGCACAAAATTATCTGGTAAGGCTAATGGAATTACTGAAGTACATTTCTCTCAGCTTACTCCAGTTGGTCACTTACTATGCCCTCTGCTCAAACCACGCCCCTCTGAGGGCAGGCAGGGCTGTGAGTACCTCATCGGCTGAATTTTGTGTGCCCCCGAGCACTGGCACAGCACCGCTCATAGTGTAAAGTCTTGATAGTTTTTACAATCTGCTCTTCTCCTGTCCTTCATGAAATTACAGCAGTAATTTCTTCTAAATATAGTAATTCCTAAATCAACACTATTCACACTTTGATACTATCTCAGCATGAAAGCAACATCAGCTACCATGTGAGGACTTTGTTAAAGAAATGATTCTTAATTACATCATGAACCAAGAGGCAAACACAGAATTTTGATAAATACTACAGTTACTGGTCAGTGCTATGCGCACAACAGAGGCTCAAGACAGGGAGCACTCGCTCAGAAAAATCTTGAGGAAGGAGTGTGGAGTTAATCAGACTGTTAAAGTACTAAAACACTAAAGTACTAAATAAAATACTAAAATAAAAATTTTAAGGAGAACCTCAACTGTGGTCATGTGTATACACACATTCAGAGAACTTACACTAGAAATGAGAAAATGGATACTATTATGATATGTGATACTGCAAGAGTTATATGAAAAGACTTAAAAACACATCAGTAACATTTGAACAGAATGATAAAGGGAAGACATTCACAACACTATAAAAATAAGACACTAGGAAAGGGTTCACTTAAAATAAACTTTACATTGACATTTAATTTGAAAGGTACCTGTTATGTCCTAGTTGTTTATTCTCTCCCTTCTTCTGTCTGACCATCCATCCATCTGTCCCTCTCTACTTTCCTCCTTCCCTCTGCTTTTCCTTCACCCCTTTTTTGAGACAGTTTTTATGTAGTTTAGGCTGGCTTTGAAACCAATATGTAGCCCAGCCTGGGGTTGAACTCCTGATACTCCTGGATTTATCAAAAGTGCTGGGATTGCAGGTGAGTGCCACCATGCACTGAATGCTTGTTTGTATTATTTATGAGTGTAGAAAAAAAATGGAAGGCTCCCTAATTCATTTTATAAAAAGTAAAATATTTTGAATTTTAAAATCTCAGATTTACTTTTTAAACCAAACTGTATATAGTTAATATCATTACTTGTACAAAACTATAAATATAGTTAATAGGTTGTAAGACTAATACACAATGATAAAATATACTTCATTCCAGGAATCCAACAATGGTTCCTCCTTGAAATGGAGTAGCATGGTAACCACGGTGGTTCTCAGGCTCTGGAACTAGCCTGTTGGCACTGATCTTGATTATACCATTAAACTGCAGCCGCTGTAACCAGCTTCCTAATTTCGAAGTTGAGGATAATAATATGGCATAGCTCAGTGAGTTCATAAATATGAAATGTTTAATTATGCCTGGCACAGAGCGAGAGAACCACAGCGTCAGCTATTATTATCTGCAAACTGATGGCCCAAACCCAGGATTATATAGAAACGAACCTCATGGCACCTGAAAAATTCAGTAATGCCTTATAAATCAGGATGAATTTTGTCATGTTATAATCCTAATAGAATTAAATCCTGATAAATTTTGTCTATGGGCTATCTGGATAAATAAATATACCTCAAATTTTAAGTTAAAATATTAATAAAAAATTCCTGGAATCATTCAAACTTTTAGTCTCCATTCTTAAGTTCATTTCAGGATGTGATAACTCACTGCTGTCACCATTTTTTATCAAATGATTGTTTTTTTCAATTATATCCATATTTCTTCATTGTATAGACGTCCCTGTGCTTGCTAGGAGTTTATGTTTCAATGATTACATTTTACATGGAAAATATCACATTAAAAATCTATTTCACATTCATAACCTACTAAACATCATGGTTTAGCCTAATCTTCCTGAAGTGGGTTGAAAACATGTTAACCTACAGTTAGGAAATGTCATCTATCAAAAATATCTATTTAATAATAAAGAATTGAGTGTCACATATCAGTATACTGTGTATTGCAATTGAAGAAAACCACAGAACGGTTGTGTAGGGCCTCACCATTAAAGTACATAGAGGAAAGCATACTAGGCCTGAAGAATATTTGGAGCATTGAACTAAAAGTAGTCACTGAATGAAGGGGGGTAGGTAGAGCATAGTGACAGTTTCTCTTCTCACTAAGTTTGAGAATAGCTCATAGAAGACATTGAACATCACTATTTAGAGCTTTAGGAGGCAAAGTGTTCCTCAGGAAAATACTATGTTTTGACTATACAGTTTTTTTTCTTTCTTTTTATTTTAAGTATTTGTAGCAAGCAAACATGAGTTGTAAAAACTTCCTGCATAAACACAAACAAATGCTTAATCACCCTAGACAGGAAACAATGACAGACGAAAGTACTAGTTCACCAAAGTCCAACCTAAGGCTTTTTATTAGGCTTGCTTACAGAGCCTGTGTGAGGCATTACAGGATTGTGGGTAATCCTCTTAACTGTTGCCTCACTGCCAAGTTGCATCCTGTCCTGAATGGAGACCTTAGGGAAGCTGCACCTTGGAGTCTAGCTTTCAATCAGCCTTCTGCCTCTTAAACATCCTAGCATGTCCCAAGATCATTTGCAGCTGGAATAGGAAGAAATAGCTGGAATCCTGGGTGAGGGTCACTTGAACCTGCCTAGGGATGGATTCTAGCTCCATTACCATTATCACAGACCTGACTATCACTGTACCGTTCTGTTCTGGTTGCCATGGATACCAGGGCAAAGTCCAAGATGGCATCTTGTAATGACCAGAGGACAAACTAGCACACAATACAATGTTACATGTCTATCTGCCTCTCAGTTCTTGCAAATCTTTCATAGACTACATCCATTTCCACTCACTGCAGACAATGGCAAACACCATCAGCCAGTTCTTTGCTACAAACTTTCTAGCTGCCTTGGATATAACCTCTTACTTGACTTGTTTACCTCTTTCATCCTCCAGCTTAATCAGTTCCTTGCCGAAAAGCTCTTCAGCCTCAATACCAGCAAGTTCCTGATCACGGTTTTCACCAATGTCCGATTCTAACATTTCTCAAGCACCACTACCTCCTTGCTGTTTCATCAATAGCAGGGGTGCCGTTAAAGCCTTTGGATGCGATGCTACAACTTCAAAGCTTTCTTCTAAAAGTGTTTCTTGCAGGCACCGTATGTGACTTCTCAGGACAGCATTTAGTATGTTCAAACTTTTCCAGAATTCTCAGGGGGGTTAGTTAGTGCCCATTGCTTCATCAGCCTTTGAATGCAATATGCTCAACAAAGAAGCAACTTTCTTGGGTGAATGAACAGGTAAAGACAACACCTTTACATTGGGCACCTTGTCACTAATACGGAGTGAGTGGATATTGTTCTTTTGACAACACGCTCTTACCTGTGGAGTTACATGGTTGAAGAAGTAGTCTCAGACAATGCGGAGGTTCGCCAGTCCTTTTTGTTATCCTGAGAATGAAAGGGGACACGAATGCATGTTCATGCTCTTGAATGTTCTAGGGCTCACCACATGGTAGTTTGGAAAAGGCTCTAATTAGAATCTGGCAACATTTCTATCCCAAAGTAGTGCTTTATGGTCTTTCAATGTCAGAGATTCTGGCACTGTCTTAAAGTGCTGGAGAGATGTACCATGTACCAGCATTTGCTTGTATGTTAAATAGTGACATTGACATTAAGTATTTGTTCTGATAATATTTCTCATCTATCATTTTCAAATACACCTCTTCCTTAAAAATTCTGTATGATGGATATTAGTGTTTTCTATTTCATGTTGGCCTTGACACTTCAAAAATTATGATGCTTTACAGAGTGCTGAGGCTATTGCATGATAAAAATATTATACACACACACACACACACACACACACACACACACACACACACACACACACAAGATGATTACTGTGCTATTTTGATATATAGAAAAGATTGCTAGCCTTACCCCAAATTATCAGTGGGCAATGTAGTATGCATTTCTATATTATTGATATAACAAGTTCTTGTTCCTTTCAGTCATTTCCTCAACATTTCTGTCTATGGGGACAGCAGGTTTACCTGAAGCTCATCATTCAAGGCATTAAAGATTCAGATTCATTGTCATTTAATACGATATGATGGGTCTCAAAAATTCTAACTCATGTGTGGTAACCAATGGACTAATTGCCTTCACATGGGGGAGAAATTCTGAGTTTTACCTCAAGAGTAATTGTCTTCCTTCTTGTAAGGAGATGCAGATGGAGGTTCTGTAGATAGATATGATAGGATATGAAAGACACTAACAAAAATATTTCAGGTAACATAGCACACTGTGGAGTATCAGCTGGTTACTTTCCTAAATGATGTCATTGTTGATTGGGCTCTGTAATTCTGCCTATGCCCAGCATCCTGAAAAGTTGCCTTACCCCTCTCACTAGCCCAGGGAAAGATGAAAACTCAAAATTTGAAATATGATTTCGAGTGAGTGCTTATCATATTGCAAATATCATAAATCAAATCACTGTTAGTCAGGCACAGGACAGCTTGCCAAATATTATAGCAAGCATTTGAGGTGATGATACTGGAGTGCCAAATGGCCTGAGCACCAATGTGGCCAGAAAAAAGCCAAACCAAAACAAACTCATAATGAGTTAGCTATTAATTCGAAACTTGTTTTCTATTTACAACATACATTTTTCTTTTTCCTTCTTTTCTTTATGTGCCTCAGAGTCAGCCAGCTGACTTCTTTTGGGACAAAATAGCTGGAAGAAAAGTAGGCACTGTTAAGCTAAAACCTTCTATGCCAAGTTGTAAACTACAGCAAATTTTCATGGTTGAGTGGAAAAAAATCCTTGAAAGACCAGGCTTCTAATGGAAGAGCTGACAAAACCAGCTCTTGCAGCACAAACGGCAGGACTATTACCAGGCCCTTAGGGTGGACTAGTTGATATCATTTGCACTTTAAGCAGTTTAGGTGTTAAATTGCATGCAATTGCACAGTGTGATAAAACACCCTTCAAAGATATGAAATAATCCCTCTTTTTTCCTACACTATTTTCTTACAGGAAATCTTAACTCATAAATGGTAGTATTGGGTAATTTGTTTCTAGTAAAATGCAGCATAATCCATTTAGTTACAATGCTTATCCCATTCCAGTGGCAAAATGTAACAGGTGTAGGGTACATTCAATAGGCAGTGAGCCTAATTCGCAGATCTGGGTGTAGATTCAGATATTATTCTCTTACTGTTTTTTTAATGCCAATTTAAAACCATTTGACCAAAAGAAAATAGGAAAGAAGTGGATTTTTACATAAAAATTTAATATAAAAGCTCCTTCATCATCTCTCACTTTCTAAGACTGAGAACACAATGAAAGTAATCTGCTTAGTTCTGGGAAGGAGATGGTATGTTTGCTTGGTTGTGTTCACCAAAGCCATTTTCTTTGAGCATCCAGTACCATGTGATGAGCAGTCTTCATCCAGGCTGTAGGTGCAAAATGAAAGTAAAAATTACTTTTGGTTGATGGCGAAGAGTTCTGGAGAGTGGCAAGATTTTGAGGGGATTTTTTTTTAAAAAATGTCAATTTATGGGGGTTTGTCAGCCTTGAATTAGTCAAATATAGACATGTGATGGCTGGCATCGGTTGTTAATGGAAATGGTGGTGGCATCAGTTGTCCTGAAGCTATGCATATGGTGTGTCTTTCATACCTTACCACTTGCACTAACCTCTTTGGGTATGAAAACTGAGTTTCACTCTATGGTGTCAACACAGTGCATTCAGGACAAGGACTGATGATTAGCAAGGCCAAACAGTAGCATCCTCTGTAGCAATCCTGTATATAGGATCTATAGACCTGCCAGACATAGACATAAGTGCTACTGTTGATGAATAAAATATGATCAGTATTCTCAAGGAATTTATAGAACAGTGAGTGATATTCAATAATAGATTTGTTAATATTAAAATTTCAAAACAATATCTTAACAAGCCATATAGCAGGAGAATGCTGCTTTTATGAATGAATTCGGAGTGAATAGGATGTGATTGTTTACATGTATCACTTTCTAGGTAGCTATGTGAGCTGCAGGAACTCAAAAATAACAACTCTCTCAACTCAGTGGGCTGTCTTAAGGAACCACGGGGAATCAAGAACAATTGCTACTGCTGATTGAACCACAAAGGCATGGACACTGCAAAAGTGCTACAATAAAAATTTCAAAAAGATTAAGGAGACATTTGTGTATCACTGAAGCTACAATGCTGAACTTGAGCAGTGTGGTGCAGCTGGAGAACGTGGCGAGCTGTGAATTGATATTTTTTCATTCAATGAATCTATGCAGAAAGATGGTTACCCTGGCTTAAAGGCAGGTGCTTGTAGATTCCATGGAAGCACAATTAAGTTGGCTGATTGCTGAGCATCGGTTCCTGTGACTACTGTTTTTGATGAGGTAGTGAATAGTTTTGAGTACAACAGTTGGAGTCATCATGAAGTTCTGAAAACCTGCAGGAATCCACTTTTGCTGCATGTATGCGTTCTCCACATTTTATTCTGTTTATTTCCACTTGTCAACCATCTTATGCCAAATGCATGAGTACACACACACACACACACACACACACACACACACACACACACACACAAGCATAGTGTTTTCTCCACAGAGCAGAGTAATTTGTAATTTGTTTCCAAAGACAAGACTTCAAAATCAGGTGCAAATAATCAACTGCAGTATCAGCATATTTTGAAAGATTGCCTGGCAAAAATAGAGACCAGGGTGGTGATAGATCCCAAAATCTCATATGTGTGTCCTCAAGAAACTCACCATCATCTCAAAGCATGAATAAATTTTAACCAGAAGAAAGAGAATGGCCCAGAAAATGGGAAGAGAACATTTAGTTTGTCATCCGAGTGAGATCTTTCTTATTCCATTTAATGTTAGAACTTTGAGTATTTTTATAGCTTTAAACTCATGATTCTAAAGGTTAACAACCTTTCAAATAGCTGATTTTCACAAAATCTGTTCAGGCATGATTTTCCTTTCATTTTGCCTGATATCAAGTGGTCTTATTTTGATTTGAACAATTGTGTATTTAATTCAGAGAGATTCCACTTTTATTGGAGTCTTTCTTTTCTATTTCATCTTTCTAGAAAAACATACATGCATATTTCAAGCATACATAGTTGTATATATAGTCTTCTGGAACTGCCCCCCCTCTCATTTTCGGCACTCCATTCTGTTCTAAATACATATCTGTGTGTCTATCTACCCATGCATGTATCTGATATCTGATTCTCTTACTATTTTTACAGCATTTTAAAATTCAGGAAAAATTGCTTTAGTCTTGTAGCTTATTTTTAAAATGAGGATAACATTTCTTTTATAGGAGTATGAGAATTAAATTAGAATATAAAATTAGTGCTTAGTAAGTTCTAGTTATTATCGAACTGTGGCAGGAAAGTGTGTTCTATAATTTTTTTTTCTCTTGGAAATCACTGAGGTTCATTTTATTTCTTAGTGGGTAATTTTTTTCCTGAATCTTTATGAAATGATTTTTATTTCCCAGCAGGTGCAAATCTATATATGTTCCCCTGTCTCTGCCTGTTTGTGTGCATTTGTATGTAGTGTATGTTTGTGCAATGTACAGTGTATGTGTGTACACATATATACATGCAAATAACTGCACGTGTAAAGTCAGAGGGTAACAACTGGTGTCTCCCTGGATTGTTCTGCACCTAAATTTACAGACAAGGTTTCTCACTGAACTCCAGGTTTATTAGCCTGACAGACAGACAGATGACCTTCAATTATCCACCAATTTCCATACCTTTTCCATGCTGAAGTTACAGATTTCAATACAAACGATCAAAGCCTGCTTTTTATTTTTATGGGCGAGTACAATGCATATTGACCATGTTTCCCTCTCTCCAATTCTTCTTGAGACCCCCCTTATCCTCCTATCAAATTCATATCCTCTTATGTAATTTTTGTTCATACATACATATTTAATCATATATCTATATGCATTTGTGTAAATATATTGTGTGTATAAATATTACCAAGTCCAACCAATGTTGTCCATATGCACAGAGATACAGGTAAAAACACTTGATTATAAACAACCTATTAGGGGGCTTTTCCCTGAAACAAAAAACGATACTCCATTCCTCCACAGCTGTAGACTGCCTGTTTATCCTTGTGCTTTGGGCCTCATAAACCCTTCTCTTGTCCATGCTGGTGTGTTGACTGGTGCACACTTATGCAGGTCTTGTTCAGGAAACCGTAGCTGCTGAGGGTTCAGGGGTGTTTTCTGTCACATCCAGAAAACACTGTTTCCAGTAAGTACTTCTGATCCTCTAATTTTCCAACCCTTCTTCCACAATCCTTTGTGACAGGGGTATGGGGTTGGTGTCACAGATGTCTCATTTGGGGATGGGCATTCTGTAGCCACCTGTTCTCTGTTCTTTATCAGTTGTGGTTCTCTGTAGCAGCTTTCCTCTGCAAAAAGAAGGCTCGTTGATAAGAAGGGAGGTTTGTACTGACCTATTACTATGAGGATAAGTGTTTAGAAGGCACTTAGAAACTGAACCAATTTAGGAGAAATGGTAGTGGTTGGTTTTCCTTTAGGGTCTGTAACCTTGCCAGCCACAGGTTCATAGCCAGGTTTAGACTACCAGGTATGAGGCAACCAGACAGTCCAGTCAGGCAGCTGCTAGATACTCACAAAATATTAATGCCACTATTTCGCTGTCATACATATCTTGCTGGGTTAGTCATTGTCGTGGTTTGAAGGATTTAGAGCAAAGTAAGGCCACTGATAACTTTTCTGCCCCATCATCCTACATAGCGCCACCTCCCTGCTGTATTAGAGCTAGTCATGGGCAAAGGCGTTCAGCTTTATTTCTCTAGGTCCTCAGTCCAAAGTACATGGTAGTGTCTTCAGTCTTATCCTCAAGTTCTTGCAAACAAGCAAAAGCAGTTGCAATAGCAAAACAAAACCCAGCTTTTAAAATGTGGGTACTAAAGAACTTGCCTCCAATTCTCTTGTTTGTACATCAGTCCCTTGACCCATGGAGCCATCTCCCCAGCCCTCTGTATATGTCTCCGAGTACAGTTATTACTCATTCTTTATGTTCTGGTCAAATTTAAAGAAGTGCTTCTCTACAGAGTTTCATAAAACTCTTCTCACATTGCCCTTGCATTTTGCTTTGTATAATTCAATGATAACATTTGTCAATGTGTAAAAGCTCTAGGCAGTACATCTTTGAAATTTTTGATCTTAGAGGACATTGTCCCTTCATTTTACTCATGGAATAATTGTAAGAGCAGTTCTCATTTAACATTTTAACTGTTTGTTATGGGAACCATGGCTTCCCCAATCTATCATTTATCCTTTTTTTTATCCCTCTCTTTCTGAGTGCTGTTTTCATAGGCCATATCAAGAGATTTCCTTTCCACTGGACTAATGAAAAGCCATGGAACATCCAAGAAGAGAAGATTGAAAGTGCCTTACACATAGCACAGGCTTGGTCCTTGTGAACTCACTAACTGTAGACTTGGACTAAAGTTCACAGCTCCCATGCAATCGTTCTTTGCTTACAGCCTCTGGGTTCATTAAGCATTCTTTCTCTTCTACCCGGAGAGTTGTTGATGACTTCTTCTGGTAATTGGAATTGGTTTTATTATACTGTGTCTAATCTTTATAAGTAGTTGTTTTATTAAACTCCTTTAAAATTGCTCCCTTTGAATATGACAAATATTTTCTTCCAGGACATATGCTGACATGTTTGGAGGAAGAGTCCTGTTTGATCCTCCTGCCTCAGCCTTCCATGCCCCAGAATCACAGGTGAAAATGTCACTGTGCTTGGCTTGATAAATCATTTTCAATCTTGTTTCTACTTATTCCCTAATAGAGTTTTAATTTTTATTTAATTTTAACCTTTCTGTGTGATTTATTTAAACCATGTGCCTAGAAAACATTTACAGATTTATTTCCCTTGGCTTAATCAAATTTAATGTTTCACTTTTAAAAATGAGTTTTAACTCACATATATTTATTAAGTATTCTGATAGACCTCATTTCTAAACTTTTTCCCTCCTACATTTTCATTGTTATTTCCCCATATTTAAATTTGGTTTATGAAATGGACAAACTGACTTTGATCCAATCAAAATCCTCAAAGATAGGCACACACGCATTATATATATATATATATATATATATATATATATATATATATATATACATTTTTAAAGTGTGAAAAACAAAATATCTATTAGTGATGTCTGTTTAACTATTATAACTAAAAAATAACCTATTATAACTGTACAAAATAAAACCATAGAAGTTATGGGTAATGAACTGCCAGGCCAAGAATATGAATATTTTTGCTGAGAAAATGTTTGAAGACTGTAGTTTGAATCTTAAGCAGTGTTATTAATAAAAATTACCCTGAGCCAGATATTGGGGTAAAAGCTGAAAGATCAGAGAAGCAGAACAAGCCACAGCCAACCTCACCTCACCAACTCCTCAGCCAATTCTGAAAGCCTCTGAGTCCTCACCCGAAAGGCCTTAGACAAAAAGAGACTTTTGTTCCTGTTCCTTGCCCTGCCACACTACTTCCTGGGATTAAAGGCATGTGCTTCCCAAGCAAAGGCATAAGATCTCAAGTGCTGGGATTAAAGGTGTGTGCCACCACTGTCTGGCTCTGTTTCTCTCCTAGACTGAGTCAATCTCATGTATTCCAGGGTGGCCTTGAACTCACAGAGATCCAGATGGATCTCTGCCTTCTGAGTGAGAGGGTAAACGGTGTGTGCCACCACTGCCTGACCTCTGTGTCTAATCTAGTGGCTGGCTCTGTCCTCTGATCCTCAGATATGTTTATTAGGGTACACAATATATCATCACAGAAGACAGGGCCAGAAAGATGCTTTTGTAAATTTGCCCTTTATTAAGCATTAGACTTATATTTCAAAAATATTCATAGTGTTTTGATAGCTTTATGTCTTCTATAAATTATTTGACACTGTTCATAATCAGAAAGAAAATAGATAATACTCTTCACATAAGATATGAATTTAGCATACTTCTATTCTTTACCACCTCAAGACCTAACATGAAAAACAATACTAGAAATTTTATTTGCACATTAACATAAAAGTTTATTCCACAGCATTTTTTCATAATGTAATGCTATTGCTTACAAACCATGGTTTGTACAGTAG